TTTATTTGTCTACATCAAACATTAAAAGACGTCATAACGATGTTCCATTACAAGCTTGATTTACTTTTGAATAATCTTTTTCTATTCATGGATACGGGTCAAACTGATGGTTTAGTTATTGCTTAGTTATACTCGTCGATTCAGTACCGAAAATTTGGCGAATTTTATGAAAGGAATACTGTGATGGTGTGATATAATAATGGGCGTTGAAAGACAGATTAGATATCGCAGTATTAGCAACAATGTTTAAAAAGCATTGGTTAAGAAATTTTCAACAAAGACTATTTTGAGGCATCGGTGGTATTAAATCCATCATAGTACTGCAAACCGTATATAAAAAGTGTTGTTATTAAATTTCTCAAAGAAGAGAGTATTTAAAGATATGGTCTATCAGACACATTCAACTGCTTTCGCTTCGTCTGAGCTTCTGTTATTCAACTATTTTAAAATATAGATTAAATATCTACTTAGATGTAATAAATTTAACTAAGCAACAGCTGAGCAATCAGTTTGACACATATATATATGAATACAAAAAGATTATTTAAAAGTAGATCGAGCTTGCCATGAAAAATTGTTATGATGTCTTCTAACGTTTGATGTAGACAAATAAATATAATGTGTTTCTTGTTGAAGAAATATTACTAGTTCTCAGAACTTTTTGATCTTTCTATGCAAAATGTCAGATCTTATTCAAAATCAATCTCCTTATTAATTTTGAAAGGATAAAGTATAGAACTGTGTGTGAGGTGTAATTCTTCTTCTGATCCATATCCACTCATACCCTTAAATGAACTTAAACGTGAAGGAATATGATGGACTGAACAAATAATTAAAACCAATTAATTTGTTTTTGCAATAAAACGATTATAGAGTTTTATTGCTTGGCTAAAACAAATTCTCCTGCATATGAGAAAAAAGGAGGTGAAAAAAAAAATAGAAAAATTCTATTCTATAATGATATGTTATAAACACAAATGAGTGAGAAATTTGCTTCATATCATTGCCAATGACACGAGAAGGGAAGTGAATAATGATGTTTTATCTTTCCATATTGTTAACTTCAGCAATGTCTACAATCAAGATCATTGTTCGACAGGCAGTTTCAAAGAGTTTATTGCAACCGCTATAATTAGTTTAGCGAAGTGTTATGAATCCTTCAAGACATGGTACGATTATCAACCTCAACAAATCTTCGGAAAAATATGCATGTCAGCTAGTATAACGGTTTTTTTTATCGCTGGAATTGGCGTTGGCAAGCACAGTTTTTGTGTTTTGAACTACCAACGACACAAGGATATTCGAACCATTGAAAATGTAAAAATGATACTATGGAACACATCACATGCTATAGTATGTCCATCGATATCGAATAGTTTTACGATAGAGTTTTTTTTCATTTGACACTGACTCTAAAAAGTTCTACGATGGTGCAGAACGCGCAAAATCTAAATTGTAAACCTTTTTACATGATGTTCCCGTTACAAAAGCAAAATATGTAAACTTTATGGTTGTGACGAAAGCATTTCATATAGATAATCAATATACTATAAAACAAATCGAACAATGTAATTCATGTGTCAAAATATATTAGAGGACAATGAATTACATGTCATTTTGTACAAACGAAATGAATGACTCTTTCACTTTTCTTCTTTATTTTAAAGTCAATTAAATATTTTAATAATACATTTTCATATTTTTTATTTTATTCTGATTATCGATCTACAAATCTGCCATTTTTTGTTTACAGTTTCAATAAAAATCTTTTACTGATCTTAGTTATGATTTCAAGAATCAGAATTTTTCGATAACTTGTATAGGTTGTTGCATATGTGAATTGAGTTAATATAAATAAATTTGATACGATAGCAGTTTAACTATTCCTTTACATATCAAATGTAAAAAAGAAACGATGCTTCGAATAATATTTAAGAATTGAAGTAAGAAACTTCCCAGGCAAGCAAAAAAAAGAGAGGACTGGCGACATGTCTGGTCCAAAACGTCCGCAACAGCCGTCCTGTCTAGACTAGAACACTGAGTGTGGCCGTCAGGACTGGTCAGTATTTTAAAAAGCGACATACTGACAGGACTGGACTAGTCTGAGATATTCTGAGGACTAGTCAAGTCTAGTCCCAAATATTTGGTGGCGGGATCACGACTAGTCAAGTCTAGTCCCAAATATTTGGTGCCGGGATTAGCACTAGTCAAGTCTAGTCCCAAATATTTGGTACCGGGATCAGGACTAGTCAAGTCTAGTCCCAAATATTTGGTGCCGGGATCAGGACTAGTCAAGTCTAGTCCCAAATATTTGGTGTTGGCGTCAGGACTAGTCAGTGTCTTATGAGGTAATATAATGACGGGACTGGACTAGTCTAATAATTTTGAAATACATGTCTGGACTAGTCTGAGAGATCCTGAGCACCAGTCAAGACTGCCATGTTTTACTAGAAATGACATGCTGTCTGAACCAGACTAGTCCGAAATTCAGTACGACATTTTACATTGATAGTTGGTTATATCTTTAATACTTGTCAAGTCTAGTCTAATTACAGAAATTTAATGTAATTTTTAGTTTGAACTGGTTGCTTGTTTATGAAAACTCTTTGTCACCTTCAATTCAATACATCTTAGTACGTATACATAACCTAAGAATAACAAAGTTACAAACTTGCATTATGAAAAACACGACTGTTTAATTATCTAAGATTCTACAATGGTGTAGTTTATTTATCGATTATCAGTTATAAAAATTGTTTTATTAATAAGGAAAATTCATTGAGTTTGAAATGCTAAAAATCATTAACTTCGATTTGTCTCTATCTTTAACTGTTTTTATCATATAGAACAGAAGAAATGAAAACAATTATTATTGTCATATTTTCGTTATCGTACGATTATTGTTCATTAAGTTATAAATTGTATGAATTTTCATCAACAATATTATTAATTTGATCGGTCATATTTATAAAAAAGGAATTCTTTTTTATTTCATTGTATACAAAACATCTGAGATTGATGATTGAATCACTAGTTTATCTAATTGGTTCTTTAATTTTTTTTGTCATGTATTCAAGCGACACCTAACCGAATATTCACATATATATCATTGGTTTCGCCATAGAAACAGCTCTCTCTTTAACTCTCTTCTTCTTCGCCCTCTCCTAAACATATATAAAGAAGATTTCACAATCACCTGTTTTGTTCGTGGCTTAATATGAAAGATGTTTAAAACGAAGGAAACATGTGAATCACGTGTACAATCACTATTTAATGATGATTTAATTTTCTATCATTCTTTGATAATGTCAGGTGTTTTAATAAAGACTACTGCGACTGCTTACAGAAAATTAGTTGCTGACAGTTGTATCTCATTCAGTTTTGCTCATGATAAAGTAAAATATGATCTTATTCGAGCTATTGTTCAATTACAAAAAAACACCATTCGTCTTTTCATCGGAGAACTTGTAGAAATTAAACCTGGAACATTAAAAATTAAATTTAATATTTCTAATGCTCAATATCAAGTACCTAATATTTTACGATTACAGTCATTAACCATTTTCCATCTAAGCATCCAAAATTTATCTTGAAAAAAAAAATGCTTGTATATGTGAACCTGGTAATCGTGTCACTGTTTTAGAATTTTCTAACTTAAAAGACAATAGTTAACAAATAAAAATCATTTTTATTATTAATAAAAATAAATTATTTCTTTAAAAAAAAACTTCTTTAATCTAATTTTCTTGATGTAATCTTCTGAGGTAGTGCTTTGTGTAACTAAGAATCAGAACTTTTGATTTGTACTGATACACATCATTAAATAGTCTGTTAGTACATGAATTAATAATTCTTATCAAATAATATTATGAACTTCTCTGATCATTAATGTGTGAAAGATGTGTCACTAATGAAACATTAGCGTATATGGTTCAACTGCTTGCCAAGCTAGATGTGTAACACAAAGTATGTATGTTCGATTCTAACCTTCACCGCTTTGCTTCTATAATTTAGACTAGTCTGGACGCCAACATCTGACTGACAAAAGAACGGATTTCAGACGGTATGAATGACTAGTAGTTGTGTAATGTGTAGCATGTAGTTAGCAATATGATCGATATGCACATATATATTTTTCAATTTTTAAATATATCGGACGGGTGTCATGACGGACCGTCAGGACTAGTCCGGAGGCGATATGAGGAGATACGAGACCATATATTTTTGTGACAGACTGGCGTCATGTTGCCGTGTCTTGACTAGTCATTCTCTTAAAAAGTGACCACACATGACTAGTCTATTTCAACAACTATTACTAGTCTGGACTAGTCCTTTTTGTATAAATGACTAGACTATATTGAAATACTGACGCCAGTCTGTGGGCTAGTCAGGACGCGGTGTACGGACTCTCAACAATATCAGACTAGTCATGTCTAGGTCGTTTTGAGAAAAAGACTAATGAGTGACGGGGCGTCATGACTAGTAAAACTAACTAGTCTTTTTACCCGTCTTTTGCTCTCCTGGGTTTTTCACAGAATTCGAGTCTATCAATGAACAAAATTTTAATTTTAATATGATTTCGAAATAGAAGAGATTTACGTTTTTTTAATTTATCCTCAGAAGAATAACAAAAATTCTAGTTCATACATTTTTTTTCAATTCAACAGGAGTTACTATTAATGAAAATTATTTAAAGAACGGAAAAACATATCAATAATGATGATTTTGCATTGAATACTAAAGAAAACAAAAAGAAATAGTCGGTGATTCATTGAAAGTATTTTATAAATATAGAGAAAAGAAAAGAATAAGATGTCATCATTCTCTGTTAACAAAGAATAACTAACACAAACACAAATATTTCATTCTTTCTTCTAGATCATTCGTTCTACATTGACTTATTCAATAGTACTTCATTTGTATTAGCCACATTCACTCAAGAAACGTAAGTCATATAGGCAAAAAAAAACTTTTCTCCTAATATTAGATTTTCATCTAGAATGTCAATAACTTCAATTGAAAATTTATCCAATGAATTATTTTATGAAATATTCGATTATTTCAATGGTTGTGAAATCTATCAAACATTTTCAAATCTTAATTATTGTTTTCAACAACTTCTCAATTCTTCATCTTTTCGATTTAAAATAAACTTTCATCATTCAACATCGATAGAAATATTTATGAATAACTATAAACAGATTATTCTTCTTAATAAAGATCAAATATTTTCAATTCATTTAACATCATCAACACATAATAACCAAATTATTTCATTACTCAATATCGATTCATCATTTATTCATCTTGAATCACTTTTTTTTAGTTCAATTGAACTAAACATATTAACTTTACTTCTTCCCAAATTAACTCAACTACCTCGTTTTTTCTCATTAACTATCGACACACGACAAACTTTAAAAGATCTAAGTGACGTTTATCGATTAATTTTTAATTTACCAAAACTGAAATATATCAAATTCTCAGCAGTAGAACCGGAAAATATCGACGTAACGGTTTCCCTACCAATTACTACCAATAAACAAGTCAGTACAATCAAATATCTTGTCATTGATCATCCATGTGCTTTCAACGAACTTTTTACTATAATCTCTTATACATCTCAGATTTGTCATTTATATTTTATACACAAAAAAGGTAGCACTCTAAAAATTGGAAATATTTTGTCGATTACTTTATTAAATTTAACTCATCTTTCTATATATGGAGATGATATAACATTCGATGAATTTCAAATATTCATTACAAAAATAGATTCAAAATTAAAAGTTTTATCTATTACTAGTCTATCAGAAGATATGACTTATCTTGATGCCGATCGTTGGGAAGAATTTATTTTGAAATATTTACCTTTATTACAAAAATTTTATTTAAAATATTATGTATTTTTTAACAATAATCATGAAACTCTAATGTATCTTAATAAATCAAATCGATTTGCTTCGTCATTTTGGATTGAACGACGATGGATATTAGAAGCTGAAATCGATTTTGATACTGTTATGTATTCAATTGGTCCATATAAGTATATGAAAACGAATTTTTTTTTTTAATATTGAATAATTTATCTTTTGTCTGTAGAGAACAATGGTATGAATATGATACACAACATAACATAATGAATTTTTGGAAGAAACCTACTAAATCTATGCGAATTGTTCTTATGAGTTTTACTACTGAACAAGATTTTGATTTATTAAATGAAAATATTTGTCATATTTTAACTGTAGCACGGATTTATCATCTGAAAATTTCTAAAAAACTTTTTAATGGTGCATTAATCGAAATTTTATATTTATTACCTGAACTCAATTCATTACAAATTTCTTCTGTATCATTATCACATCGAAGATATTTATCTATTGATGAAGTTGAACTCGATTCTATATCTAAAAAGAATCAAATTACAAAAGTTTGTCTAGATAAAATGTTTGCAATTGAAGAAATTTATTTTTTAATTGAACTTTGTCCTCATACCACACATCTCAAAGTAGATTTTATAAATAATATGAATGTTGAATTATTTGTACGACTTATTTTAACAAAAATTGTTAAAAAATCTAATTATCAACTTCGATTATTGTCTTTTCATGTTGCAGCAGCAGATGATGAAATAATTGAAAAATTAAATAAAACGATTGACTATGAAAAATTGCTATTAGATTATAAAATTATACGTATACTTGAGCATATTTATTTACAATGGAAATGATTGTTATGTTTGTTCTTATATACATATATATATATATATATATA